TATCTATTCAGTGTTCTTATCTTATCTGTTCAGTAGTATAGATTAGTAGGGAGTCTTCCTAAAAGCAGGACTCTTATCTCTTGTAATCTCCTATTTAAGAAGCTGATAATATTCAATAAAGGCATCGAAATTCTCAATCAAGACAGAGTAGAGGAGAGTCGGTGATCTCTTGAACAAATCACCATTAAGGCGCCAAGATAGGTTCCTCAAGARAAGGGAGGAACAAGGGAAAACAGGAAGTTTTCCCCGTGGACCGATCCGTGACAAGATCCTATTCTCGGGCCCATAACATAAACTTCTGAACTCTTGATTAAAACTCATGATTCCTTTCCACACACATACCTCATAGGAACATCTTACCCCCTTGATTCCCACCCGAACCTCACTAGGGATGACAATTTTCCCCATTTCCCCAATCCCTACGGGGACCCGCCTCAAATGGGGCAAGGATGGGGCTGATTTTCCCTCCACGGGGACAGGGATGGGGAAATTTTCATCCCCATTGGTGGGGACAGGGAGAGCACTCCCCACCCCGTGGGGATCCCCGCTAATATATATGTATATATGGATGCGTACGTCTATACATGTAYGTATGAATATATTTTAATCTTTTTTAATGGGATTGTAAATTTTAACTATTTTATTTTAATGTTTTAAATAAAATAAAAAACAAAAACAAAAACAAAATGGTTGACATAATAAAAAATCACGGGGAGTGGGGATCCCCATGGGGATGGGGATAACCTTGCCCCCGCTAGCGGGGATGGGGATGGGGATGGGGATGAGGAGTGGCTCCCCATCCCCGCCCCACCCCGTTGCCATTCCTAGCCTCACCACTCCATATTTTCGAACCACCACCCTCCTCCATAATGCCTCCTCTCCATACCCAAATTTCCATGGCCATTTCCATAAGAGTGCTTTGTTAATTAATTTCACCCTTCCCATCCCTAAACCTCCCCCCTCCTTTGATCTACAGACCTTCTCCCACTTGACCAGATGAAACTTTTTAGTCCCCCCACCCCCTCCCATAGAAAGTCCCTCTGAATTTTCTTTATTTTCATCACCAATTCATTGGGAACTCTTAAAAAGGAAAGATAATATGTTGGTAAGCTAGACAGAACACTCTTTATGGGTGTGGTTCTCCCACCCAAAGATAGATACTTGGTTTTCCATCTGATTTGGGTCTCCCCAACACTTTCAGTTCCAATCCATCCTTCTGGCCACTACCAATGAATCTCATCACTCTAGATAAACAAAGAACACTTCAAATGATTAAGAATAACAATATAAAGATTATTCTTCAATAAAAAATTGAAAACACAATATGTTTCTTAGGGTTACCTAACCCTAGCACCACTAAGACAAAGAAGAACAGGGGGACCGATCTCACCAGGCAGTCCAGAACCACCAAGAACAGCAATTAATCTCTTCTAGGGATTAAACAAAATCCAAAAAACAGCAACCGCCAACCCTAATAAATCTCCAGCATGTCCATCCCAACTCTGAATAGAAAAACTTCAGCCTTTGTTTGATTTTTGGGCAGCTGTACTAGGACAGACTTCTAGGTAGCAAAAACAGACTTTGATATTCTCCAAAAATCTCTTAAATGCATCCAGTGAGATAGGAGAACTGATCAGCACCTCAACTCAATCACCGATGTACATATTGATCCTAGGGTTGCATGGGTCCACCAAGCAAGAAAAAGAAGAGTGATCCTGGCTCTGATACCAACTTGTGATTCAACAAACAATAAATCCAGCTAACTTAGTCTAATATGTGCAGTTGAAAGAGACAGGTTGCAGCAATGAAATACAAAACAAAACAAAAAAAAAAAAAACGAGAGAGAGAGAGAGAGAATGGAAGATAACACCAAGATCATCAAAAGTTCAACCTCTCAATGTATAACAAGACCATCAAAAGTTCAACCTCTCAGCACAAATCAAACACATTGAGGTAGGCAAACATTTTATCAATAACAAGTGGAGAAGCTTGTTTACAATCATCAAGTCTGAGTTTCACAATGCTGATATTCTAACCAAGAAAGTGGTTAAATCCCAATTGGAAAAAATTTTGAGCAAGTTAACATGTACAACATATATGCTCAGCTTGAAGGAGAGCATGTTAAGAAAATCTATTTTCTTACTATCAAGGGTATATTTTAATTCTATTTTTTTATCAGCTATTTCAATTCTATTCAGTAGTATAAATGTTATGTGCATGCTTAACATTTTACTTCCAAATCATACTTCTTCCTCCAGTTCTTCTCTTCACATTTTTCTCTAATTTCTCTTTTCATTGCAAAAATGATCAATTATAAAAAATGCAACTATTAATGGTTCTTGACAAGGAACATCTAGTGGTTCCTATGATGCTTATTGGGTGATCTGGAAAATTTGCTCAAGTGAAGAAACAATTTTGTGCAAGGACTTGCCTAATTCCAATTTAAGATATGATGATGATCAAATTAGACCGAACCCTTTTAATTCAGGGGATGTCGGATTAGATGGTGGAGTGGAAGTTGCAGATCAGACCTACAAGAAAAATGTGGTTATGAAATTGGGAAGAATCATTGCTAGAGATAAACATCAGAAAGACCTCAAGAGATTTTCCAACGCAGTTAAACGATTCAGAAATCAAAAATATCACCAGACTGTTCAGGTCTTGAAACTGCTTGCTAGATTGAAAGGGGGTCTTCGTGGGATTGGACCTATCAAGAAGGTGAAGAAAGTTAAGAAAGTTGGCATGAGAAGCAAAGGAGTTTAGATGCATATTGCTGGCAGCGTGAAATAATCAAGGATCGTCTCATGTGGTGTTTTATTGGGAGTGTTGTTGGGTTCTGACGCTCTTTTGCAGTCCAATTAGTGGGTTTGGATGTTTGTTGCCTTTGGTTTTTATTGTTGATTGTTGTGAATTTGTTGTTGGGTTGTTTTCATTTTCTTCTTTCGGGTGACTTCTGATCACCTTTATTGTATCTTCTTTTTTCCTTTTAATAAATTTTATTTATTACCCAATTCATCAAAAAAAGTATTTATTATCCAAAAATAATAATTAACCAAAAGAAAAGAGTAGAACTAAACAATTGGCCAATTTCAATGCATAAACAAGTTGTCAGTGAATTATGCAAGGCAAATGGCAAGTGACTACAATAAAATGCTTCAAATGATGATACAAGTATTACTTCTTAAAGGTGTTACCAAATCCAAACTGCAGCAGAAATTATTGATGGAACATGCAGAACTTAGGATTAACATAGAATTCCAAAAAAAACAGCATCCAAGAAGCTTATAATTCTAGATTACATTATCATTTAATTACCCGGAAATAAAACGACCTTTGCGACAACGAGCTTGAGTTGGACCTTGAACTTCCTCAACTATGCACTGCAAGGAGTAGACAGCATCAAATAGAAAACAAAACCACATCAACAAACTAATCAAATCAAAAGGAGAAAAAATCACTAATCATGAAAGTGCACCAGCAATCCACGTGCCAACATAAAGAAATATCACAATTGATGGCTCAAGGGAAGTGGGGTATTTTGGTAATTTTACCTAATGTCAATGAGGTCTTATCTAGGAGTTATGTTATTTGGGTCTTTTTTTAGTTGTTTTTCAATTATTTTTTATAAGTGACAAATATTTTATTAAAATGAAACCTCAACATGCCCATCAAAGTGTGCATCACGCCAAATGAGTATAGAACACCTACTCCAATAAATATGGAGCTCAGCAAAACCAACTATTAAGATATTACAACTTGTTGCCCATCCCTAACACCACTACTCCAGCTGTTCCTTTAACAGCCACTGCCCTTGTCAAAGAATCAGCTAAAGCATTTGCACTTCTAGGCACCCTTTTCAATGAGCTATTCAAGTTGCTGCCTAGTATCTGTGCCTGTCGAACCAATGGTTTGAATTTTAATGGAATCTCCTCTAGCATTCTCATCCCACRGACGTTAGCTTGGCATTCCTCCTCTACCTCCACATCCTTATATTTTCTTTACTCATCACTTCAAGCCTTGAATTGAGTCGAGCAGTTCATCCCTCAAAGAATTGCAGCAATTGCCATCTTCAATTGGGCCCAAAGAACTGAGTAGAACATTGCCATTATGATCCCCTACCACACCCCCAACCTGGATTTCCAAGACCACACCCATCAAAATTTAGCTTGTCTCCCCATGGTTGGGGCTGTCCATTCTTCCATTTTGTGTCTTATAGCTTGGTATCCGATAACAATTTGGTATCCTCTTAAAAGGTCATTTAGAGTGACTCTTTTACAATCCTCACTCACCATAGCCCAATAAGACACCCTTATTATGATGAGATCAATCAACTCCACCCTCATAGCCTTCTCTTCGAATATGTTTCCATTCCTTTTATTCGGCAATCCCCATGGCATCACTGCACACATACACTTCCATAATGTCTTTTTGTCTTTTTGTCTTGGAGTATTACATAACATTATAGTTTATACTTGTGGCAAAAAAGTCCTTTACCTTCAAAGGGGCCACCTAATTGCTCCCTGCTCAACACTTAGATACAAGTCCTTTATGCCCATTTTTTATGCTAGTAAATATAAAAGAAATCTATTAAAAGAAAAAACAAATTTAGGTGGATACAAACTGAGTTGACAAGGCATAACTGAGACAAACCAAATCCATTCCACTTACTAACATCACCCCAATACTGACAACAAAAACCTGCTAAAACAGTAGCTGGTTACAAAATGGGGGATCAGAACTGTGGCTTTCCAACAATGAAAGGAAGAAGATCAGGTGGCTAACCAGAGATAATGGAAACAGTGGTTGGGTGGGTTAAAAGATCTGCTAATTCTGTAGCAGATGCCTTAGCTAAACAAGGGGTGGAGAGAGATTCACTTTTCTGGGCACAACTGTAAGGGATTTGATTGTAGGGGGAGAGATAAGAAGTTTTATGTCTCACAGTCCAACTGTATTTAATGTAATGCACTTATATTAATTAATAAAAGGTTGAGTTATTGATCAGAAAAAAAAATAAAGTCAAAAGCCCCCCCAAACATCACATAAACCAAATTCCCTACCTAACTCACCTCTCACATATCAGGTTCGCTACATCCTGATTTGAACACAACTAACAAACAAACCTCAAAACCACAAATATCACACCAACAAGCTCTCACAAAATTTATCCCAATAAAAAAGAACTTCCTATGGCCCTTCTTCACCCTCCAGAATTACCTCGTCTAATTCCGGATTTGAATTGCTATTCTATACTTTTCCTTTCTTTTTCTTCTGCTCCAAAAAGAAGCTTTACTAGAAAACTCTTCTCCTCCTAGAAAAGGAATTCCCAACCTCCTCAGCTCGACATCTTTTTCTCACAATCTACTCAGATCCATTTTCTTATCTATCTTGAAATTCTTATCCAATATGAGTGAATCATTTCTAGGCTCTATATTGTTCTTATGCTCTAGAATGACCATTTCAACTTTATCTTTTCTAACCATATCATGCCCATCCAACCATCGGTCGATAAAACACATGATTCATTATTACAAGCAACACAAACCTTCTCCGCCTTCAAAAACAACTTTTTTTAAACTAAATAAATGAATATATATATATATATATATTAAGAGAAAGAAGAGAAAATATTACAAATGGGTGAAAAGAAGTCACCCCACATACAATACAGAAAGTAGCGCCAGCACCAAAGACAACCTTCCCCTTTAGCCTCCCAATATTAGACCCCTAAGTAAAATCACAATTGCCAAAACCCCAAAGGAATAGTGTAAAAATACAACAATGGGAACTTCAACCCTTGAGAAACCAAAGAAGATTTAACCGACTGAACCTCCACAAACAATCCTCTACCCAAAACCTACCACCCTTACCCAACTAAAACAAGACTCTTCAAATAAAACCCCAACTGGTTGCCCTATTACTCACCAGCTTTAATGACTGCAACAACAACCTCTGCTTCTAACCACCCTTTGTCTTTTTGACCCCCACTACTGGGTAACCCCCTCCCCCTCCAATCTGGCAAAAATATTTTATACATGAACAGTCCAGGTAGCTTTCTAACTTCTAATTCTTCTAAATGCATTTGGAAAATTCTCGGAGGATTTCAGATCCTTTATATTAGCATTAATTCTTTCTAACTTTAACGCCACGTTTTATCAAAATTCTGATCTGTCACTACTTCACCACTCTCTTTTCATTCCTCCACATCTTTTCCAACAAGCACCAACTCCTCTATCTTCCAAATTTCTGGAATACCCCCTAGTTTTGTCTAGACCCGAAACAATTCCCCCACCTTTGACGGAAAACATAACTTCTCTTCTAACTCCCAAAAGATTCTTCTTGCAAATCCCCCCCCCATAAAATACAAACCCATCATTTTACTCACCTCCAACTCCACATTCACCACTATCTCCAAGTTGAGTGATCTTCCCAATTCATGAACTTCAAAAATTATGAAGTGGCTTGGTCTTACATTTCCTTTCCTTAATGTAGAACCTTGGATCATCAGACCATGCACCCCACACCTGTCCTGTTCACCTTTTCCTTCCCCATCTTGATTAATTTCTTCCACTAGATCATAATCCTCTGACTAGTTCTCCAAATTTCCCCCATCCCCTCTAGTCTCTGACCCAATTGTTGTTTCGTTAACTTATATTCAACCAACTTCCCTTTTTCAACACCCTCACCTCCAACGTCCTCAATCTCCTTCTCTCCCCTCTTAACTCCTTTCTCATTCCTCCCTATAAGTTCCTCCTTGAGCCAAGATTTGGCTCCAAACTTAATTTCTACAGATCCACCAAAACCACCCTCTTTTTCGCCTCTCAAAGCCCCAATGTCACCTTTTTGAACTTCACTCTCTAGCCTTAGTTTGCTTGTCTTCAACAAACATTTCAACCTCTTTATATCTTCTCAGAACAACGCACTGAAGACGAACATAGACCTAAGCTCAATTCTATCAAAGACCCACCTTTACTTGACATCACATGCAAATTTAAAAGCACACGGGCCCCTCCGCCCTAGACCTCCCCACTTGAGATGGCCCACGAAGGTTCCATGTCATTTTATCTCAAGGCCCAACAAAGATCCACCCATGTGCTCAACTAGGTTAGCACATGACTTGGTCCAACCACATTGATCACAGGCTTTCATAGTTTCATTTGATTTTGCCTAGGACCCTTCTCAAAAAGCCTTAACTTCTTCACAGGGTTTCCCCTTCCCCCATTTGACTAACCATTACTACCATTTGTAAGAACATGTAAGAGAACTCTACCACGCTCCAATTCCCGACCCCAAGCTAGGCCACTATTCTTAGAGCATAAGGTCTCCCCATTGAAGGAATGAGACCCAAAAGCTTTTGATCTTCATGTTCTCTCTCTTCTCTACTAATGAAAACACTTAGAAAATTTTAACTCCCCAACCCAACACTACCACATAGTACTCAATTTTCCATGTTAGCATCTTCCTGCCCCCATCTCCAAAGTGCAGCACCAATGGAGGTGATCATCCAAAAATTAAGGTTTAACCACCTGAATCAGTTTTAACATTTCTTGGAAGACCTTCATACTTTGCTCCCACAACCCTTATAATGACTAAATACAAGCCTCTCAAGAACACACCCTCCAAGACGGACTCCACACAAGGATGCAATCAGCTTCATGGTGCTCTCCATCTAGAGGTGGAAGGGTAATCCAAGTATCCTTATCACCAAGCCTTCACCATGTGAGACAGATTTGGCGTTTGACAAAAGACACCATTTCGAAGCAAGTGTTTGTCCTTCTTCAGTCTCTATAACTTCAACAACGATCTACACTGCATTCTCTAACAAATCCAGCAAGGATTTTTCTTTCTCACATGGGGTGAAGATGAAGGTTCCTTTCACCTTTAATCTTTTTCTTGTGGCCTCACATGCTTTCTTCTAACCTCTAACTTTCTACTTAACCAAAATCACCAGTCATTGCTCCCATAGCCCCATTCACCCACTTTTTGAATAATTAACATCTTAGACATTCCTAATGTAACTGGCCATCATCAAATGCTCCCTTTATTTTCTGTTCTCCTTACTTGGGCTTAAACATATTTTCAGTCTCTCAACTTCAAAAGCGCCCTACATATCTCCTTCACCTTTGTTCATCTTCTATGTTTCCTCTAGAATAAACAGAATTTTTTAATCATTTCCTCTAAAATGTCAATGACAATGTTTAATATAAAAGATTATTCCTAAAAATAAACAAAAAATGAGATCCTCCTTCCTCTTCTTCCTCCACTTCCTCCTCCTCCTTCTTCCTCATCCCCCTCCTCTTAAGGAGGCTTATGCCTCCTTGTGTTCAAGAGGCTTAGTTCTGAACTTCGCATCACACCTCCGCATTTTAAAACATTGATTATT